GCATGGGTCCAAGAACTACTGCATATATTCCTATGTGTACCTCTGAGAAAACTGCTTTTTATCTCCCTCTAGCTCATTATTTTCAAATATAAAATGAGAATAGCCCTTATTAGCTGTGGGGGATGGTGGCAGCTACTGGAGAGGCTGAGATGAGAGGATCGCTTGAGCCTGGGAGGCAGAGGTTGCAGTGAGCCGAGACAAACTTGTCTTATTTATCTTTGTACTGGCCCGGCATCCAGCAAGAGGCCTTGGACTCAGTGGATCTTCTATTAATGCTAAGTAATCTGAATCAAATCACTACTTCCAATCACACTACTCGGTCTTGCAAGTGATTTGTAACCACCTGGTATCAGAATGAAAGTGTAGGTCGGGTGTGGTGGCAGATGCCAGCTACTTGGGAGGCTGAGGTGGGAGGACTGCTTGAGCCCAGGAGGTCCAGGCTGCACTGAACTGTGATTGTGCCATCACACTCCAGCCTGGGCAACAGAGCAAGACCTTGCCTCCAAGAAACCCAAAACCAACAAACAAAATCTTTGTAATAAAACTCCAAATGCAGAACATTTTCAGTTGGGATAATTCTAAGATAAAATATCAGAATAAAGACTACACAGAAAGAAGGGGAGAGAGGGAATATGAACAGACAGCAGATATAACACGGGAAAGCAGAAGGACCAAAATAACATGATGAGCTTTTTCCAGATCCAGCTTGATGGAAGCTCTGAATGTTGAAGGGTTTGAAGGGACTGCTGAAATTATCTAGCTCCATATTTCCTGGGTTTCACGCACAGAATGTGATTTGGTTCCGTGAAGAGGGCATGAAGTGATGTAACTTCAGGACATTTACAATACACACCTTACACCCCTGTAGAAGTGAATGCACATAAGTATGGTAAAGGTTCTGAGAAGTCCTACAGTAAAGAAACCAATTCACCTTTATTTAATCCTGCATTCCCTAAATTCAGCTGCCCATGATCTCTTTTCCAAGGAAGATCTAGAAACAGCCTACAGATCAAATGCCAGGAAAGGCCAACCCAGCCCAGGTCATACATCCGCTTACCGGAAACTCAGACCTAATTCTCCATCCAGAGGTCCTTCCATTAGAAAATTTCAGATAAAAACCAGAGACGGTGGGCTCACAATTTGGAAAAAGGTAAGTAAAAAACTGTCAATTAGCCATCCCAAAGAACGGTATAAAACAATAGCAAGATGACAGGAATAAAGGCAACCCAGAGAGTGTGAATACCTCATGTGAAAAGTGCAGCAGCTACTCAGCTCCTGCCGAGTATCACTGTGCAGGCTGTGGGAGCAATGTGGCCAGATCTTTTCTAGGGAAACTAGAAATTTCTCTTTCTTTTTGAGACACAGTCTGTGTCACCCAGGCTGGAGTGCAATGGTATGATCTCAACTCACTGCAACCTCCATCCCAGGTTCAAGTGATTCTTATGCCTCAGCCTACCAAGTAGCTGGGATTACAGGTGTGCGCCACCACATCTGGCTCATTTTTGTATTTTTAGTGGAGACAGGGTTTCACCATGTTGGCCAGGCTGGTCTCGAACTCCTGACCTCTAGTGATCTGCCTGCCTCTGCTTCACAAAGTGCTGGGATTACAGGGATGAGCCACTGTGCCTGGCCTCTTTTTTTTTTTCTGAGACGAAGTCTTGCTCTGTGGCCCAGGCTGCAGTACAGTGGTACCATCCTGGTTCACTGCAACCTCCACCTCCTGGGTTCAAGCAATTCTCCTGCCTCAGCCTCCTGAGTAGGTGGGATTACACACATGTGGCACCACACCCAGCTAATTTTTTATATTTTTAGTAGAAATGGGGTTTTGTCATGTTGGCCAAGCTGATCTTGAACTCCTGACCTCAAGTGATCCGCCTGCTTCAGCCTCCCAAAGTACTGGGATTACAGGCATGAGCCACTCCACTCAGCCCTAAATCTCATTTTTTAAAATGCAAAATCACTCTAGTCTCTTGTTTTGCTTTTTGTTTTTTGAGAAAGAGTCTCACTCTATTGCCCAGGAGCGATCTTGGTTCACTGCAACCTCCGCCTCTCAGGTTCAAGCTGTTCTCCCACCTCAGCCTCCTGAGTAGCTGGGATTATAGGCACCCACCACCATGCCCAGCTAATTATTGTATTTTTAGTAGAGACAGGGTTTTGCCATGTTGGCCAGGCTGGTCTCCAACTCCTGACCTCGTGATCTACCCACTTTGGCCTCCCAAAGTGTTGGAATTACAGGCATGAGCCACCACACCCAGCCAATAATCACTCTAGTTTCTAAGAGCCAGGCTGTGGGTTAAACAAAGCATGCCTGCAGGCCCACTGTAAGTCTTCTATAGCCCACGGGCCACAAGTTTGAGAACTGTGGTCTAGGGAGCTTTCTATCTATGAAATAACTGGCACTTCAGAAGAAACCAAAGTTTGACAATACACATGGACTATCAGATTTGGGTGGCTCACACCTATAATCCCAGCACTTTGAAAGGCTGAGGTGGGAGGACTGCTTGAGGACAGGAGCTCGAGACCAGTTTAGGCAACATAGTGAGATCCTGTCTCCACCCCAAAATAAATAATTATATGATAAATTATCACATTATAAATTTTCTCACCTGAAATGAGAAAAGCCTTAAAGACATACAGTGGAATGTATGGTTTATTTACTATCTATTTTCCAACACCCAATATGAAGTTCAGCACTTCCATTAACATGCGGTGAAGCATATACACTCAGTGACATCATCAAAAACCCTTTAAGGAAGACTCACTGTGCTAGGTACTCTACTGGGTCCCAACTGTGTAAAGCTACAGGAGCAGCCATGGATTTCCTGCAGACATTAGTTTCCTTCAAGTGTATGAAAGCTAAAATGAGTATACAGGCAGGAGTGAGTCTGTTGTGAAATGCTGACTTGAGCTATTCAATCACTGGACATGTACAAGACAGTCTCAGTGGAGTACCGCTTAGATCTCGAGTGTTCGGTACACTTGACTACACTGGGAGTCAAAACCATGTGTTCAATGAGCTTCGCAGGACGAACCCACCGGCCAATGAATGGAGGCTTTTTCTTTTAAAGGTAGATGTACAGTGTCCTCTTAAAAAGAAACTTAGTGCTCGTCCTAAAAAGCCAGAATCTTAAAAGACTAAAGTTCTAACTCAGCCCAGGGTGTCCAGTACACATTCCAAATTACCTACTGCTCAGGCTTAAAGTGTGAAATAGCAGCACTGGGAGGGATTTTCAGGAGGACTGTGGAACTTCTGAGGCTCTGCGTCAATCGACGTTTTCCCCAAAAAAGGTGCCAGTGAATTAGAGGTTCAGGCCTAAAAATCTGTCAGAAGGTTACTTTCTACTGATTCTACAATGACTTGGTCACACTGATTTGAATGTAGCGCCACCATGATGCTGAACTCCCTGAACATCATTTAGATTACATTCTGTATGAACATCATATTCTGTAGCATACAATTCAGAGGCATTGAATGGGTCTATCTGATCAAAACAGATCTAAGGCTTTTTAAAGTCCTAAAAAGCATTAGTAGTTTCTCAGGAGAACAATTTCTATTTAGGTGATGACTGGCAGACAGCTAGTGGAAGGCTGCTGTGAATCTATAACACACTGTGGCATCACGCTATCCTAACAAGGGATAGCTTGTACGTGATGACAGGCGCTACTCAATTATCAGGTGGTAGACTTTCTCTTCCAACTACCAGCCAGGCTTGACCTTGCTTAGCTTCTAGCAATAGACTTTCTAGGAACATTTTAAAATATTTTTAGAAAAATGGAACAACATAAACCAGACTTGGATCTACTCACCCAGGGGCCCCCCTTGTAACCTTAGACAGCACAGAAGTGCAGAGGACGGCTGTGGAACAGGATGAACTACTCAGTCCTCAGGACTTGGTCTTATCTGAACTAGTTGAAGAAACACTACTTTGGCTAACCAGCCAATGACGTGGGAAAAGTAGACCTGACTTTTTTTTTAAATATCCAGCAGTTTTTAGATCTTCATCCATGGAACTGAATGAGATCACATTTCTTTCTTTCTTTTTTTTTTTTTGGAGACAGTGTCTCACTCTGTCACCCAGGCTGGAACGCAGTGGAGCGATCACAGCTCACTGCAGTCTTGATCTCCATGCTCAAGCTATCCTCTTGCCTCAGCCTGCTGAATAGCTGAGACTACAGGAGTGGGCCACCACATCCAGCTAATTTTTTTAAAATTTTCAGTAGAGGCAAGGTCTTGCTATGTTGCCCAGGCTGGTCTCAAACCCCCTGAGCTCAAGCAATCCTCCTACCTCAGTCTCCCAAAGTGCTGAGATTATAGGCTTGAGCCACTCTGATTTGCCCAGATCACATTTCTACCACCCTATAGAATGGATGTAAATTAACTGCTTGTGCCAAGCATTAACTCACTAGGCTTCACGTTGCTTGGGAAAATTTTACATTTTATTTGACATCTTCAGAGACTCCTTTTCAATCTAAGAATACTATGCTCAGAGTAAACTAACAACTGATGCATTTTGCTGCAGAGTGTCCAAAGGATATACATGGAGACTTCAAGGTGCTGGAGGGGAAGCCTAGTTGTTAAGGTGTTGGACTTCACACACCAGTCTTAATAGAAACTGCAGGTTCAAATCCCAGCAGGGTCAACTGAGACTCTATTATGATCTGCTAGAAAAACTGATCATGAAACACTTTACTGCTCTTTGACAAATTTAAGAGTGCCTTAGAGACTGTCTCTGGGGTTTCTGAGGAGATATAAAAGGGCAAAAAACTTGGCAATCATTTAAATATACTGTCTTTAAGTTCTGTTTAATGGGGAGAAAAATCACATCTCTGCAACATGCTGTGCACATAACAAAGAAATAGAACCATCACCTTCCAGATGCCCAAATAATATGAGATCCTTTGAGTAAGTTTACCATAAACATACAGCATTACAGATTTCTAACATTCCATGCTTGCCCAATGCAAATCTATAGACAATAAACCTAAAATTACCCACCAACCTGTTTTTTTCTTTAGTTTTTAAAGGCCTTCAAATCCTTGGAGATAGTATGGACCTCCAGCTGTTAACATTCAGAAGGAACACACTTACAGCCCTGTCTCCATTGGGCTTATTACTGCTCCAGTCAATGGTGCATTTCAGAGCTGAGAACAATTCCAATGAAGTTTTCACTGAAACACCACTGCTTCAACCATCCACATTAGGTCAGCATTTAACAGAGGGTCTCCCTCTGGAGCAGGTTGTCCAAGAATATGAGTTCAACCACTGGCTCAAGAGAAGCGGAATGTCTTCTCAATGGTTCAAAATTCACTTTATGTTCAACTACGGGCCTTCTGCCAACTGAGGATCTGAGCTCTTTAGGGCAGTGACTATAATTCTTCCTGGACACAGAAGGCCAACAAGGTGACTGTCACACATCAGCACAGAGCGAAAGCCATTACATATTAGTAGCCAGTGAGAAACAAGGTTCAGGACCCTGTACTGTAGAGGAGAGCACTGTAACACGCCAGCAGGCAGAGTGGTGGAAGGGGAGCTGGGTGGCATGTTCATCCATTACAGCCATGGGTGGATCTGAAGTCTAAGTAAGACGGATACTCACTACTGTACTGGCTGGCACCTAGGCAGTAAAGTAACAATTCATCAGATAAGATTTTAGGTGGAACCACAGGTTTGGAAAGTTCTGGGATCCAATATAATGTCTATAGGAGCATCAACATATAGCATGAAAAGTCAGTATCAGGGAAACAGGTAGGGATCCCTCCCCTGGAATATTGGAAAGAGATGTAAAGACCATATCTTCAAGCGCCCGAGTGAAGACCTTCTTCTAATACAATGGGTCCTGTGGCTTTCTGTTAGGAATCAAGCAGTAATTAGTTATAGCCCAACTTTTAAAGTATCAGTGCGCTTACAATCACCTAAGAAGAGAGGAGGACATGAGACACTCAAAAGAGTAAGTTTAAGCATTAGGACTAACTTGTAAGTACGTTTTAGATACAATTTAAGGACACGTTCTGTTCTAAGCGCCATGCCAGAAGCCAATGAGTATTTTTGGCAGGTCCCATATTCACTCTACAGGGAAGCTTGGAACCTTTTAACACCGAGTTAATTTAACTCTGAAAAAATGCACGACATTGTCAGACAGTAAAGTTTCAATGTCGGAATGAGGCCACATCATTCTCCCCGGTAGAGGTAAACTATTGCCATGAGAAATTTCTACCTCTTGGGGACCACCCACACACACAACTCCTCCTTCTCTCCCCTCTTCAAAGAGCACCCTCACATATAAGATGCCCTCCAGTTCCTTCTACTCAACAGTAAGTCTAGAGACGATGTTCCCCAAGTTTTAACAAGCTACTGGGCGTGAGAGAGCTGCCTTATGTCTACACCCAGATCCTCCTCGGATCCCTCCACTCGCGAGGTTCAAAACCCCGCGCTGGCTACCCTGTAGGGCCAGGCCGGCTGCTGGGGCACGATGGGGCCAGACGCTTTAAGCAAATCCTTTTCGAGAGATTTCAGGCACCTGGGAGACCCGCCAGACAGGTCGGCCTGGGCCTCGCAGTAGCGCTTCATCCCCCCGGCTCCTCTCGGCTGCAGGAACCCTAAGGAACGGCCCGGCCCGGCTGAGACGTCGGTTCAGGCTGCCTCCCGCTCCCAGGCCCGAACCCCTCTTCTCCGCCCGCCCGGCCCCGCCTCGGGGTCTCGTGGTCCTGCCAGCCGGCTGCGCCCGTACCTGCCGGACCCGGTGCAGGGCATCCACAAAGCCCTCAGCCTTCATCCCCACAGGAGCGCTCTGCCCCTGCACCAGCTCCGCCATTACCGCCCCCGCCGCCGTCGCCCCCGCCGCCGACGCCGCCGCTCGGCTCCCGGGTCCGGCCTCCCGCTCCGCTTGGGGACCCGTAGCCGGAAAGGGAAAGTCGCCGTACTTCCGGCGGAAGGGAAGCCGAGACGCTCACTCCGAGAGGAGCGGCGTCTGCGGGGGCGGGATCAGGGCACTTGGCGTTTGACCGACCGGAAGTGGGGGCGGGACCGCAGCGCCGGGGTGGGCTCAGAGCGCCGGGCAGCCGTCGGTCTCGAGGGTCCGGTCGCGATCCCGCCCTTCCCGGGCAGGATTTGGTCCAGGACCGTGGATGGCGTCGTGACAGATCCCTGAGGCTCGGATGTGGCTCAGAGGTGTCCGCTGTCGGCTGTGTGGAATCTCAGAGGGACTGACGTGGCTCTCCCAAGACGGCACCCTGAGCAGTTACGGTTCATCAAAAGCCTGGTCCTGAGCAGCCCCTCTCTGAAATGGCTACTGGTTGGGAACTTGGGGGCTGAGCGCTTTGAAAGGGCATGGAGGGCAAGGGACAGTATCACAGAATGTCAGTGCACCACGTTGGCGGAGAGTCCCGGGCCCCAGTTGTTACACCGCAGTTTGCACGAGAATGGGCCGCTGCCATTTCCGCCGGGGGTTGCCTGGTGACGCCGCCGAGGAGGGACGCGCCCACTGAAAAGCCAGCGTGGTGTCCTCTTACCCACTACTTCACAAACTCTGGGACTCTATGGGGTGCAGGAAATACCACAGGACGATTATTGCTCCCGTTCCTGCTCAGTCAAAACTTGTGGGAGGCTCCTTGGAAAGCCTACGTAACTTTAATGGACGTGACTAGGTATAGATCTTCTACAGCAAGGAAAGAATCTTAGTGCTAGAATTCAGTTGAGCCTTTGAGGTGACTCTTCTTATAAGTGAGCAAACAAGTAACAAGATTTAGGGGGCGCCCATTTTTGTATTAGCACGATTACCCTCGTGTTTAATATTTCCCCAGCCCTGTTATGCAGAGGAGTTGGACTTAATGAAGAACGATGTTGGCAAACATTTTATGCTCATCTTGAAGTTAATGAAGGAAGATGAGCAGCAAGAAAAGGAAATAAAGAAATAAAATCCAATATGGGCCAGGTCCAGTAGCTCATGCCTGTAATCCTAGCAGTTTGGGAGGCCAAGGCGGGCAGAACTCTTGAGCCCAGAAGTTCAAGACCAGCCTGGTCTATATAGTGAGACCCTGTCTCTACAAAAAATACAAAAATTACCCAGGCATGGTGGCATACACCTATAGTCCCCACTACTTGGGAGGCTGGAAGGGAAGGATTATCTGAGCCCTGGAGGTCAAGGCTGCAGTGAGCCATGGTCCCGCCACTGCAGTCCAGACTGGGCAACAGAGCAAGACCCTATTTGGGGAAAAAGTTTCGTATGACTTTTCTGGTTGACCCCATCCTCTCCTCCCACTGTGTCATTATGGCAAGAGAGCTTTGGGCTTTCTAAAGAAGTGTGAGGAGTACTTGGCCAATAATCAGAGCATAGTTCTTTATTTGTTCATGACTTCTCTCCTAGACTGTGAGTTACTTTAGAGCAGAGACTTGTTTTTTCCTGTATCGCTAGGGTTTGGCGCATAGTAGGTGCTTAGTAAACTTATTTTGCATTCAATAATGCCAAGTAGAATAATTCATAGATTATGGCAAAAGAATTTGGCAAAATTGCAAGATTGAAGATTACTTTCAGGAAAAATATTTCAAACCCTGTTCAAAAGTACATAACTTGCTGTGTTGTTGAAGTGCCAGCCTGAAGAAGATCATGCCAACATGTCCATTTATTGCCCATTCTGGGTGTGTTGAGTGTTTTAGCTTCAGTTGTAAAAATCAAGGAATGGCAATGGTATGAACTTTCATGAACACAATCGTTCAAGTGAACCAGATATCAATGATAAGTTCTGTTTTGAATTTTTAAAATGTATTTCTGAGGTTAGGATATTGATTCATGCATATTCCAGCCGGCTTTCCCTATGAGTATAAATAGTGAAAACAAGGCTATTGGCCTAAATATAAGGTATATTCCAACGTTTGGTCCAAAGACCAGATAATCCCTGAGTAGGGAGATAGAGTTCTGTTTCCCCCTCTTTTATTGGTTGAGTAACTTTGAACAGGTCACTTATATTTGGGGGCACAGAAGACGAAGATGGCCCCAAGCCTGTCATGTCCACTGTTAAATGTTCTGCTAACACCCTGGACTTCATCATCTTATTACAGCACTTACCATAGTTGCTTTGAAATCATCATGCAGTTATGTGTTTATTGTCTGCCTTTTCCACTAGAATAAAGCCTCTACTGATACAAGGTCTGTTTGTCTTGTTAATTGCTCTCCCTACCACCTAGCACCAATTCCTGGCATGTGGTTGGTTCTCAGCATTTGTGAAATGAATGAGAATGATCTTGTCCAAAGAGGATAGAGAAATATTCTTACAGGTTAAAAAAGAAAAATCTGGCTAGGCTCAGGGGCTCACGCCTGTAATTCCAGCACTTTCTGAGGCCGACCTGGGCAGATCACCTGAGGTCAGGAGTTTGAGGCCAGCCACGCCAACATGGTGTAAGCCCATCTCTACTAAAAATACAAAGATTAGCTGGGTGTGGTGGTGGGCACCTGTAATCCCAGCTACTTGGGAGGCTGAGATGAGAATTGCTTGAACCTGGGAGGCAGAGGTTGCAGTGAGCCGAGACCACGCCATTGCACTCCAGGCTAGGCCAGAAGAGCAAAACTCTTGTCTCAAACAAACAAACAAACAAAAGCCTCACGCCTGTTATCCCAGCACTTTGGGAGGCAGAGGCAGGTGGATCACCTGAGGTCAGGAGTTCAAGACCAACCTCGGCAACAATGGTGAAACCCCATCTCTACTAAAAATACAAAAATTAGGGGGCTCAGTGGTGTGTGCCTGTAATTCCTGCTACTCAGGAGGCTGAGGCAGGAGAATTCGGGAGGCGGAGGTTGCAGTGAGCTGAGATTGCACCACTGCATTCCAGCCTGGGCGACAGAGCGAGATTCCGTCTCAAAAAAAAAAAAAGGAAAAATTCACATACTGTGGTTGTGACTAGTTTTGCAAACCATTCCTCTCTGAGATTTGGAGATAAGTTACAAGTTACTGATAATGTTGAACTGCCTCTGGATACTACCAACTAGAAGTCACCCTAAAATGAAACTGTATCAATAAGGAAAGTCTAGGTTATGCTACAGTAACAAGCCTGAAAATCTCAGTAGCTTACAACAATACAGGCTATTTCTCACTTGATACATGAACGTAGTGGTACCTCCACTACGCTTCCTGTTCACTCTTCAGCCACGGCTGATAGTGGCCTCTGTCTGGAGCATTAAACTTCATCAGGGCAGAAGTAGAGAGTGGCAAAGCGTAAACTGGTTTGTAAAGCTTCTGCCGCAAGTGCTAGGAACGACCTTGTTCATGTTTTATTGGTGGAAGAAAGTTTGCCTGTTGTCAATAAGATGCAGCCGTGTGAAGCATG